AGTTGGTACTAAAGGACGAGGGGTGGGAGATTCTTTGATCTACCCCTGGGGTGCTCTCCTTCAAAATTAGGGCAGAACTGAGCATAAAACGAACTGTCCACCTACCTGCATGGTGCTGAAGACTGTGGACAGCAACAGATGCAATCTTATACTCCTTGCCATGATAAAATTTGTGGCCTTGATCTGATTATGTCAGATAAGTGAGATTAGTAACAATAAGGGATTATTAGAATGATGAAAGAATACTATTGGGATAAAATGAAAGTTAATACTGATATAAGTGCAAATGAATTACCAAAGAAAACTGCCTTTCTTGATGCGTTTCATTTGTTGAACATGTTTTAGAACTGTGTCACTGAAAATTCAATAAAGAACTGTTTTAAGCATGCCAACCTTGTATTAAATGAAACTGAAAAGAAATAATTGATGTCTCTAACTAATATAAATTGTAAAGATTTTATGATCTGGATGGATATTGATGAAAGAAATTCAAATTGCAGCATCCATGATATAAGAAGATATCTTCTAGTCACTTTCTGTCACAGATCTGAAGAAAGTAATAAAATCAGTGAATTTTCCAAAACGCTGAGATCAGAGATGCTCTCTGAGTATTAATATTAAGGGTACAGCATCGATCAAATAATTTCGAGAAACTGAACAGTTCATAAATGTACTTTTGCATAACAGTTGCGGACACTCTGTTATTAATGACTTTTTTCCTATTGAAAATGTTGTGGAAGTAAGTATTTATATATTTCTATTAAATCAGTTGGATTCCATCGATGTTTTGAAGGACATTTATTCTCATCATTTAATGTTATCAAAACAGCCATGGATTAATGTGATTAAATTAAGTGTTATGTTGCAAAAATCATATGAATATAAAGTAATTAGTATATTTTGTAGACAATTGATATTCTATTAATAATTGCACTTACTTCTAAATTATTCATATGTAGAAGTAAGAAAATTTCAGTATTTGTCATGTTTCTACTTTTTTAATAAAAGATAAATTTCTTACTTTTTTTAATAAAGATGTTTTTGTTAAGGCCTTTAACCAAGAAAGACATTTATTTTCCATGCAATACACTGATGATCAAAATTCACTCATATAAATTTTTCCAAATTTCTCGAAAAATAATTGATAAAATTTAATTAAATTTTGTATAAATGTAGAGTAGTATAAGGCAACAATTAATTCTTATAATGGCGGAGTATTTATTCTTGATCGTGAGTAATGAGAGATTTACTCATGAAAGTAGGTATGTTTGAAACTGATGTTACAACATGTTACATAAAGTGAGGCTAATAATAAAGGGTTTGACCATCTCTAAATAATACATAGCTTGTGAATTGCTGTGCTGTTAGCAAGACAGTCTGTGGCAGCCACAAACATCCCTGCACCAAATTGGTCATAGTTCCTGGATGGCTTTCTAACATCATCAGCAAATCATAGTTGCTTTCTAAGTGTATCCTAGATACCTCATGGCTAGTGGCCACCATTAAAAAATGTTATGTACTATTTACTGTAATATGTATCAGGAGTGATCAAACTTCATGTCAGTAAAATGCACATGTTGGAATTCAGAAAAATTCAACAGCAGTAATTAGATTTTCCAAGTTTATAGTTACATTATTTTAAAAGTTGTGAACAAAATGCCTGATTCTGAACAGTCATTCAGTGACATTTTCCTTTTAGCATGTGATGATTTATTGAAGACAACACAAAATTTTCTGGTGTTTTTATTTACATTACAATTTAATGAACAATTACAGTACTCTAATTACAGTTTAATGAACTTTTTACTAAAAGTACTCATTTTCAGTTTTTAAGTGCTCCAATTCTTTCACAATACTTTCTTATAAATATTGATCTATAACAGCTTTGCAATGTTCCTGAAATTTCGGAATCTTAAATCTGCGCCATAGCTACTCAAATTACTTTTCTGTGCACCCCAAAAAATTATCCCACAATTCACGTACATGCTGGTTCTACATCAAGCAAGTCATATAGCTGTTGTCATCAAATTCTAAGAATTTTTGACATTTTCAAAGGTAATATCTTCTAAGCTGTGAATTATTATTAGAAATTCCCAGAGGTTCGAAAGTTTTCTTTCACCAACTGAGCCATGGACAAGTGTTATTATCCATGAAAAAGAATGAGAGCCAAATTCACTCCTGTAAAGTTCACACAAGGCTCCAAGATCTTTTCTTTATAGCTCTGAGCAGTCAGGAAGCCTCTGACAAGCACATACAATGAAGTAGTATACTAACTAGCATGATAACTGCCTACAGCGACTCCTCAGCCACCATAAATGGATGTTGGAGGATCTCAGATTCTCTCCAGCTGAAGTATATTGAGAATTAGTGTACTAATTACTGCAGGAAGTTATAGACCTGGGGTCCAAGGCTGATTTCCACATCATGCCAGAAAACCATTTCCAAAATCAAATGATATTTCACATAACATTTAGCTTTCTAGCAGTCTTAAATTGCTGGGCATCCATGCAACATCATGAAGGCATCCAAACAGCATGAAATTTGTACAGTGGTGAAATATGTAAATGATTACGATTTCAGTGCACATCATGGATAACTGCGGCACTGCTTACAATCCGTATATAAAGGGAGGAAAGATTGTCATTTTAAATAACATTAATCCCTCTCTCATAAGATTTTTTTTTTGTGTGTGCAGGTTCAGTATGCCTTGTAGAAAAACATGAGAATCATTACAGCACATTTCTGAGTTTGACTGAGGCAAAATTGCTGCCTACAGAGATTGCAGATTATTTTTTCAAGAAATTGCTCATTATGTTAGTTGTAACCAAGTAACAGTTATGTGAATATGGAATCAGGGGATGCAAGAGGGAACAACTGATGGACAGGAGCAATTGCAACCACCTAGTTGCACTAATCCACAGGAAGACAGTCATATTGTGTGATGGCACTGATAACATGCACTGCCACATCTGTAACCATATCACGAAAGAATGCAGTATGTAACACAACATTTGGTGCCTGCACTAACAATTTGATATTGTTTACAATACAATTGTCCGTCCACTAAGCATCCATTGCTTCACTTACTCTTAACTTTAAACCACAGGTATTTGCATTTGCAGTGGTGCACTGAATGGTGGAGATAGACATTCGAATGGAATGACATTGTGTTTTGGGACGAATAACACTTCTGCCTGCAGTACATTGATGGTTGAATTACAGTTTGGAGACACCGTTGAGAGAGGCTGCTCGACTGTTGTGCTAAGCATCTTTGTTCTGATCCTGCATCTGATGTTATGGTGTAAGGTGGTATTATATTCTACTCTCACACCTCATAGAACACATTTCCAGTACATTTATGAGCCAATGTTGTATATCTGAGGTTTTGCAGCCTGCTCTGCTTCCTTATCTTAAGGGTTTGCCCGTGGCCGCATTTCAACAGGACAATACGCAATCACACATTGCTTAGCTACCAAGCTTTCTTCTAAATAGCTAATAGCATAGTAAGCTTTCTTCTTAGTTCACCACACTGCATTGTTACTCTAGCCTGCCTGTTTCTCAGGATCCCATAGAACATTGGAGAATGCCTCATCTGTCATCCCATATACATGGGTAGACCAGATGAACTTTGTCTACATGCAGAGGCAGCATGAGGCTGTCATTCCCTAACAACACATCCAAAACCTCTTTCACTCAATGCTGCAGAATGTAGCAGCAGTTTTTGACAAACACGAGGCAACACTCATTATTGATTTTCTCATTTTTTTCACCTCAAAGAAGGCTGTATTTCAAATCAATTAATATTATATGTAATCTCTGAAGTAAATTTGCCTTTGATATCTCTTGTCCTCCTTGCTGTCCATCCTAAATGCAGCCTCCTTCATGTTGCATTTAGGATGGACAGCAGTGTAAATTAGAATTGCTCTGCCTCTAATCTAGCAATGATTTCCCACTTAATTCCATCACCTAAACATTGCTAGTTACTCATTCTATAGAAATGCTTATACAAGGTAACAGTATTTTTCAACTGACAATATAATTGTTGTGCATGAATGAAAAAAGTATTAGACAATTACTTTTTATACTTATTGTGCAGCATCAGCTGCTTGTATGAGTATGATTACATATATAACACCAGTTTCATTGTATTCTTATTTGATCACATCTTTTCCAGTTATTGCATTCAGTATTCTTTGAGAGTCTTGAAACTATTTTTTTCCTCCTTCATAAACCAGACCACCAGTAAAAATTTAGTATACACAGCTTTGCAATATTCACTCTTATTCAAATTTTTTCATTAGCATTTTATGTAATTCATTTTCTTTTAGGTGCAATAATATAGAAAATAATATTTAAGTTGATGTAGATATATATATTTTCAGAAAATGCTCTTCTTAAAAATTACATAGCATCCATTAATTATTAAAATAACATACAATGTTAATCCATCTTTATTTATGTAATCCTCCTCTCCTCCCCCCAAAAAAGAGTAATTGCACCAGGGAATTAAATATTAATAAATAGCATTATTGGAATCAGATATATTATTTTATTCTTTAAAAAGCACATTAAGATTATCTGTCCATAGGGAGGGATGCCTTTATAAAGGCTTCATAAAGAAAGCTGGGCCTTATTTATGTTACTTGTAGAAAAATCTTTATGCCACTAGTCTGTTCTACAATTAGTAATGGAATCTGGGCCAAACTAACAGCATTTCACAGCTTTAGTACCTAAGCTTCCTAATGGAATTGGAGTAATTTTTAAAAAAAGTTATCTAAAATGTTAGGTCATAAATTTTAAATAGCTGTTATTAACAAGAAAGCTGAGAAATGAGCAGAAATATGCTTAAGAATGTCATTTGTAACAAACTTAAGCTTTCTGAGAATAATTATACTTAATATAGCATGTGTAACTCTGAGAATGTTTACACAATTTAGCAATCTTCCCTTTTTTAATATAAGTATCATTCTAAAAAATAATGATATTGCTTTTCATGGTAGGTCACCGGATTGGTAAAGGTGAAGGCTATGCAGATATGGAATTCGCCATGATGGCTACAATGGGAGCTGTTAATTCAAACACAACAGTTATTACCACTGTGCATGATTGTCAAGTTTTTGAATCATTACCTGATGAATTATTTGGAGAGCATGATGTACCAGTCGATATTATTGTCACACCAACAAAAGTTATTTATTGTGAGCCACGTTTACCAAAACCTAGTCATATTATTTGGTCTCTTTTAACTGAAGAAAAAATTAATAAGATACCTATATTAAAAATATTAAGAGAAATGGAAGAAAAGCAGAAAACAGAATCATAGTCAGCATAAGTGTATAATCTATCATTCAACTTTGTACCTTTTCATGTTTTAAAAATAACTAATAATTATACATAATTTATATTGAAAAATATATTTTATCTATTTTGAAACAACAGCGCAGATAAAAAGACAATATAATATGGCTATCCAAAAATGAAATAATGTATATAAATGAATAAAAATAAAATGGCATTTTCCTTTAAAATAATGTACTGTTGAGATGTATTTTGTATGATTACAAAAACGTATACTTTTGCTGCATATGAAATGAAATAAATGATTCCCCTTCCCTGTAAATTTGACATATAAATTATGAATGCAGAGTTTTAATAATTATAGGACTATTTAAAAAAATCAAACCAATAAATGATTACAAGTTTTATTATGTTGAAATATCGTTAAACTTCTCAAATTACAGTTATCAAACTTTTTTCCCCTCCACATTTTACAAATGTGTCCACCTTTGCTAATATGATACACATATATATGCAATAATCTACTCCTTCTCACACATGTCACCATATTATGGGCAACCAACTGCAATTTATAAGGTTAACACTCAGAGTTGTAGCTAGGGTTTTCAGCGCCCAGGGACAACTGAAGATTTCGTGTCCCCTACTGCTTGCCAAGGATGGAAAACATTTAGTTCTAAAATGTCGTAACATCAGTTTGGCACCCCTTGGATTCTGCGCCCGGGGACAGATGCCCCACCTTGCCCCCCTCTAGCTACGCCCCTGTTAACACTTTAGTTTTCTGTGGAGAATTCATCTTATTGCTGATTGCAAAATGCTAAGCTCTAAACTGGCACCTGTAATAGAATTGTGGAGGCTGCACTCATGAGTCCTTTTGTAATCTAAAATTATTTTCCTGAATCTTCTGATAGTGCCATAGACTTCTGCTCAGATTCAAAATGGGTAAGGTTTTGCATTATATGAACACACAAAATGACGACATATTTTTCGAATGAGATACAACTGTCTCTTTGTAAGCAAACTTTAAAAAAAAATTTTGGTTTCTTTAATTGGCATAAAAACTATCAATTCAGTGTGTAATTTTGATATAAATTTTAAAACTATTCTATGGAATTATAAAAAACATTGTATAGTTATGACATGAGCACATCAGTATACTGAATTAAAATTACTATAGGCAAATAAACATCTGTATTTTATATTGAATTGAATAAAATTTGTAAATTGTATTTATATTTTTTTATATATAAACACAAAAGCTTGTTCATTGCATTAAAGTCTTTAAAACACATTTTTAAGATTATTTTAAGATTTGAATGATACACACAACCACCAAAATAAAAGTTTAACTGAAATAATTATTAAAATGAATTTAGTTTGTTGCATAAGCATAAAACCACTCTTGTGAAAACGGTATTAAAAAAAAAAAAAAAAAAAAAAAAAAAAAAAAAAAACGATAAAATTTCTAACTTTGGTGAGATTCTCTCAGGCAAATCCAAAGCAAGATATTTTAGACTTTGGCCAAAATATGTAATATATGTACAATAAAATTTTGATTTGTAATGTCTTTATCTGTTCTCTTTATCCTAAAAACAGTAAAATGCTTGTAATAAATTCTGAAATGTGTCATTTTAAATTAGGTGTCCATATGTTTAAAGTTGCCTAAGTCAAAAATGCCAAAAGTAAAACCTAAGTCTTTTATCCAATACTGTTCAAATCACAACTTCTATTAAATCAATAGTAATAAGATAATATGTCTCTCTACTGAGATTTATAACATCTTCATTTTTAATCTAACAGTAATATAACCTTGTTCTTTTCATACCTGCCTCTGTGAAGTCAGAGAGGATGTAGTCCACTTTCTTCAACTGACATCAGGAAATGTATGATATAAACAAGATTCACTTGTAGTATTTCATTATATTTAACTAAAAATGATCTGTGAAAGTCCATGATTATGTGTTAATAGAAGAGGAGATAATAAAGTAGCTATTATCCTTTATTCCCTAACTTCACAAATACAGTTTATAAATTACTACAGTAGAACCTTGGATCATGAACAAATTTTCCAAATGAAATAAAGTCTTAGTTAATGAAAGATGTCCTGATACACAAACTAGCTTGCAAAAATACTTGAAAAATACATTACTCAAAAGTGCAACTAATGCAGCAGAGAAAATGTCTTCAGAAGAAGGTGACAGACGGAAGGATGTTCCTAGTTATTTGATCCATGAAATTTTTGTAAAATTTGGTAAGGTGCAAAGATTCATAGAACATAATTACCCTGACAAAACAGCAGTAAGCTGTAGCATAAATATTTGCAATTACAATGCCATGTCTTGTTTTGAGAACATTTTGAAACACAGACAGAAACAAATCACTGTGGACAAAGGCTCAGTGATTCTCAAGTAAAGGTGAGTGCTGTTAACAGGGAGAAATCCCAAAAAGACAGCAGCTACTCAATATTTTTTGGAACAGGATATCCCTTTCAAATAATATTTAGCATCTTTGGCTTCTGCACTGTGTTCTACTTATGATATCAACTTTCCCTTATAAAAATATGGTAAAACCGAATTCCGAGTTTTCCTATTTTTTATATGTTTAATTTTATGTTAGTGTTAGGTTTAATGAACTCTACTGGATTTGTATTATGAGTTTACATATAAAAAATTCTTTTCTAAAAATTCATTTTGGATTAATTCATTTTACAAATATATTGAATAACAGAGTATCTTCAAAAATGAATTAAGTTTGTAAACCAAAGGTTTCACTGTAGCTGAAATTGCAATATTTTGATAAAATGATCCTTGCAAAATAAGAGGATTATAAAAACTTTAAAAAGAGAAAATAACTGAGCAACCAATTACAGACTGAACTGAGCTGCAATGTATAGTTAAATTCCACCAATGTAGCTTTTTTCACTCTAATGTTCATTAATGAGTATCAGAGTTCTAAAATAGTAGCACAGTCAAATACCGAAAATCCGCCAACCTGAAATCCGCATTGCCTCTCAAAATATAAAAATTCAGTTTATAGGTTCCGGAAACCGCGACAATGAGTACAAAATATCGAAGAAAAAATACTTACCGAATAATGATGTCATAATTACCGAATGAGTCATAACAGAAATACCAAATTATTGACATCATGATAAAAGTTTTTTTCCTTTCTAATTTGCATCGAGGTAAAAAAGCAGACGATTCACCCAACATTTCTTTCAAGTTAACGATTCACATTGTTGTATTTTCTAAGCTTTGTTATTTTATGAGATTATTTAGTGCCGTCCACTTTTTTTTAGCCGGATATTTTGTGGGCAAATTAAGAATATTTTAAATTTCAGGCCTTTTTAATACAGTAACAGATAAGAAACGCACTCAGGATTTTGCTGCTTGTAACGTTGAAAAACGTAAATACGTTTCATTGATGGTAATGCAAAAAGTGCAAATTCTGCAAAAGATGGAGGCAGGTGCTACTCCTCGGTTTATAGCAAAATCGTATGGAATGAGATACATTCTGCAAGAGAAGAAGAGGAAGAATGACCTTGTTATTTACATTAGCTATACATAAGTCATGTGATCTTTGAGGTCATCTGCATTGTTTGTTTACATTAGCTACGCATAAGTCACGTGATCTCTGTCATCGGAATATATCTCTTTGCGACACGATTGTGCATGATGTACAGAAAAATAAAGAAAAGCTGTTGAAATTTTACAGCAACAGTGATTCTAACATCGGAATAATCTTTGCACGAGGCGAAATCGGCAAACCTCAATGCTGTGTACATACAATGAATAATATAATCATTTTATATATGTAATAATAATTTAATGCATATAATAAGTTATTGCAATAATGTATATAATTTAATTAAATGTATCTAACATGCCTTTATTTTGCACTTTTAGTCTGAATATTATGATTTATCTTTTCTGTCCTGAAATCCGCACAAATTCTGGTCCAGGATTTGCGGATTTCTGGACTTCTATTGTATGAATAAAGTATTAGATGTATTTGATTAACAAGTCTGATCATCATGCAGACCAAATAATATAAATATCATAAAATACTTTACATATACAGCTTATATTCATTATTAAATAATGAAGAATCTGTATATATACATGCACATATTTTTCTTGCATTTTAGAAACTAGGCATTACATAAAGCCAGCAGATTTCAAACATGTAGCCTTCCACCTGAACATATTCAACTCAAAGCCAAAATTTTATAACATTTTATTATTTACTTTGTTTGGTGCAAACTTAATGAAATTTTGATAAAAAACTAACCAATGTATTGCCACGGTTAACATATTTATATTTAAAATTTAAATCAGAAAACTCATTCATTTGAAAGAAATGTGTTACCACTCTCAAAATAAAATATTTTAGTCTTCCACGTGCTATTTGGCAAAATATAAGGTCTACCAGAAAGTTCTGGTCAATAATGTTATTTCAAGTTCGGACATGCATACATGTGCTCTTCTAAATTAACTGAAGCAAAAGCGTCTCATATCATTGACAAGTGAGACATGATTGTGTAAACATTGCTACTGTTAAAATTCATTTACGAATTCCAACCCGAAACAAATGCCATAGAAGCCTGTCAAAATTTAGTAAAATATTTTGGTTAAGATAGTTTTATATAGAACATGCAGAATGTGGTTTGAAAAATTTGAATCATATGATTTCAACCTTAATGATAAGCCACGTTCTGGGTTGCCATCTTTGATGGATGACAATATTGTCAAGACCTTGATAGAGCAACATCCTTTTTTGACAACACTGGAAAGGCTTAACTCAGCTCGACAAACCATCTGACTTTATTCTCAAATTAGTATTGGTCGATAAATATTCCAGATGAATGTCTCATGAGTGAGAAAAATTTGCCTGATCAATGTACATCTTGATCTTTTTATTAGGTTACATATATATATATATATACTTAATGATTTTAATGGGTGAATCAATGCAGTTTCATGCTATAGATAGTAATTAATAATGGCAGATATAGAACTGCATTTATTGCATAGTTTAATTCAATAACAGACTGTTGAACTTGAAAGAAAAATTAAATACCTTACATAAGATCTACCTGAAAATTCTGTTTGGGAAGCGAAAGAAAATACATTTTTCATACCTTTAATAATATTTATTGTATAATATAATTTACGTTATTACTTAATCACATTTTACAAGCGTGATGGTAATTTGTAATTATCACTTTTGAAAAATGTCTTGTTCTTAGAGGAGAAGAATTTGAGTAGTGCTTAGTTGACATCTGCTTCAATTTTTAAAGAGAGAAGCAAGTGATAATTGGAGGGTGTGAAGTCTGAAGATTATGGTAGATGTAGCAAAATTTCCCAGATTAACACTGATTTTCTGATGAGTTACCTCAGTGACATGTGGTCTGGCATTATTATATGCAGTATGATGTGCTTCCTATTGAATATCGCTGGCCTCTTTTCTGTAACTGCTTTGTTTGAACCATCCAGTATCTCTCCAAACTGAGCTTTTCATTAGTTTTCAAAAGCTCATAATGTATTGGTCTGTGGACATCCCATTATATACAGCAATATCTTATTCAGGCTGAAGGTTGGTTTAGAGGTGAGGTGACAGATTGTCTTGGGCTGACAGTATATTCTTTTCCTAATGATGTTTTCTTAGGTAATCCATTTTTCATCACGAGTTACCATTCGGCCCAAGAAAGGTTTGTTTTTGTTTCGAGCATATATATGTATATAATAATTATTTTGGCAGTGCAGCTAGTAATAAAAGTGAACAACACATGCAAAGTGCCTTGCAAAAACTTACTAAAATTCTGAAATTGTATTTTCAAAAAATCTAAAAAAGGTTTATGTAAAAAATATAATTGATATGGAAGATTATAAAATGTAATACCATAATCAATAAATATAAAAAAAATCCAAATACCTAACTTGTAGAAGGTTTGAAATGTAATACATTTCAGGAAAATTTTATTTTAGAAAGTAAAATTTACTTCAAAATTAAATTAAAAAGTTTTTGACAATAAATATTTAAATGTTTCATGTATAATTCTCAGTCACACAAAATTGTTCTGTTGTTTATTAAAAAACATTTTATAAAACTTTAAAAATATTTACAAAGCACATAGCTGACAAAAACACATCATCTAATAACACTAACACAAAACATTTATTTTCTAAACTCCTCAATTCTTGCAATAATATCATTTATCTTATCACAGTTATTATAATTATCTTCAAGGTAGACAATTTTCACTCCATCTTGAATGTAGAATTCAATCACGTGCCAATATTCAAAGAGCTTCAAAGAATTTTTTAATGTGTCAACAGAAAAGCTCTCCTCTGCATTAAAATTAAAGTAATTAATTCAAATGAAATAAAATTTCAACAAAACACAAAGAATACTGGTAAAAAAATATATTTTCAAAATTAATTCAAAAAGTGAAATGAGACAAAGTGTACGAAATCGTGCAAGGCAAACAAATAACATTTTAACAAATCAGACATTAAAACTGACTGATGTACTAAATACACTGCTCGACATTGAAAATGCAACACTAAGAAGGAGTGGTCCGAAATTTATGCAAATTTTAGAGTAGACGCACGTCACTCAGTTAATCGAATGATGTGAAATGCGCAGCTCTCCGGCGCACGTGAAGTAAGATATAAGGGAAGGAACGTGCAGAATGGGCAATATTCGTGTTGTTATTTTCTGCCAGATGAATTATCGAAGAAAGTTGGTTTTTGTCCCAGAAGATACGTGTAATAGGAGAGAATACCAGGCCGCCGTCAACAAAGGCACTTCCAGCAGATAGATGATTTTACGAGGGGTATGGTGATCGGACTGAGAAAGGCGGGTTGGTCCTTACATCAAATCGCAGCTGATACCCACATGGACATGAGCTCAGTGCATCGGCTATGGCGAACATGGTTGGAACAAGGAAATTTGGGAAGAAGGAAGGGGTGCAGATGCAGCTAGAGTGACGTCAGCATGCGTGGATTGACGCATCCGCCAAAAAGCTGTAGCGGTCCCGCAAGTTACTTGTACCGCGATTCTGCAGCATGTGCAAGATACCCTGGATGTTCCCGTGTCGACATGAACTGTTTCCCGTTGATTGGTTGAATGTGGCCTGCACTCGTGGCGTCCGTTGAGAAGACTGCCATTGACCCCACAGCATAGACGCCGACGTTTAGAATGGTGCCGAACTGGAACGATGTGGATGACAGAATGGCGAAACATCGTGTTCTCAGATGAGTGACACTTGTTTATCCAGTGACAGTTGCCGCATACACGAGTGGCGTCGACGTGGAGACAGATCTAATCCAGCAGTAACTGTGGAACGCCTCACCGCACGACTACGTGGCGTAATGGTTTGGGTCGCTATTGCCTACAATTCCAGATCACCTCTAGTTCGCATTCAAGGCACTATGACATCCCAACGATAGATGGATAATGTACTGCAGCAGATGGCAATCCCCTACCTTCAGGGACTGCCTAATGCAATTTTTCAGCAGGATAATGCCCGACCAAACAATGCTCACATCAGTGCGTACACAGAGCCAACATGCTCTGCAAGGTATGCAGATGCTACCCTGGCCACCGTACTCTCCTGACCTGTCACCAATCGAACATGTGTGGAATGTGATTGGATGCCATTTGCAGACTGTGGCCCTGCCTCGTTCAGAAGAAGAACTGTGGCAAATGGTTGAAAGGGAATGGAGAGCCATCCCTCAGGACACCATCCGCACTCTTATTGACTGTATGCCTAGATGTGTTTCTTCGTGCATCGCTGCCCGCAGTGGTCCTACATCGTAATGAGCCTTTGCCATTCATGCTCTGTATTCAATCTGTCTTTTTTCCAAATTTCATCACTTTCTGACCACTTCTTCTTGGTGTTGCATTTTCAATGTCGAGCAGTGTACATAGAGTTGCATAAAAATGTAATATGAATTTTCTTTTTTTAAATGAACAGAGCATTTTAAAATGTTTTGCATTTTATTCAAAATCTGGCCATGTTTACAATGCTAAGTATCTTCGCTATGCATTTATGACGCCATCACCAAGTTCCAAATCATTCATATCATTATTTGTATACAACTAAACATTCATAGTTTAAAATTTAAATTAACTTTATATAATAGAGAATATTTGTTAAATTCAAATATATATATATATCATGGAGGTAAGAAAGGAAGGAGTGGCTAGCTCGGCACTAAGAGAAAAGCTCTGCTCCGAAGCTTTGGTCTCCAGATGGGGTGTTTTTTGTTTACATTCAGAAGCTCTCTTGACAGTGCTTCGGTAGTATTTCGACACACGACAGTTCCAGACAAATTGAAAAAGGGGCATTTCCATATAAAAGAAACATACATTGTGTGATGGATAATAGCAATTTGTATAGTTTAGTGACATTTATGCAAAAATCACATCTTTGTTATTTTTCGATAACTAACAACAACATTGGATTATGAATTTGTTTTATAAAATTCTAAGCTGTTGAACTACAAAAATATAAATTTTAGCAAATATGTTATGCTTAAAGAATGAAAAATACCTTATGGTACCTTTAAAATTGTATAGGACTTTCGATACCTTTGATAGAGTATTCGCTACTTTTATTTTCTGTTCCCAACGCCAAAATGTTGTAAATAAAATAATTTTTTTTGTGCCATCCACAAATTATTGTGACATGTACATTTTAAAAACTTTTAGAGGAGAGGCTTTATAGTTGCTCATTTTAAACTTATCATTTTATTTTTATATAACTTAAAAATTATTACTTTGGGTTAACATGTTTTACTTATTTGGGTTAATTAAAAAATAAAATTACTACCAAATACTGCAATCCTTGTCAAAATTAATAAATATACACACAGATATGCCAATAAGTTAATTTTTCCTTGATTTGTAATCACACATTTGTGTAAAGTTATGTACAGTTTTACACAAACGTATGGAACAGAAGACGGATACATTTGGAAATTCGGCGGAAGTACCATTGTGTGATCAAGATGATGTGACCATGTGAACGCCACTTTATCAAGACAGCTTATTAAGAATTTGAAAATAGAGTAATCGATGGAGGTCAAAACATTTGTGTATCCTGCCAAAGGAGGTCCGATCATGAACGGTCCTCTTACCAATTCCAGATTGTTAAATGTTTTTTCTCAGAAATTCGAGGTTTATGCTCGCTTCTTAACATACACAGGTCTCATTCATAGACAAAGAATGGCTAACTGGAGCATATTACAATAATTATATCATCAGAGAATTATTAAACCATGTAAAATCGCTAAAAAGAGGTATTGAGTGCTCTGCCAAAATATATTTACTAGAAGATTTGAAGTTGATGATGAATGTATCCTAAAATGTGTTTTAAGTCAAAAGTTTGAATTTTGATGGCTAAATGTAAATATAAAATTATGCATGCTAAAATATTTGTAATTAGGCACATAGGCCAGGTTAAGTTTTTTTTTTTTTTTTTATTTTATTTTTTTATTAAATAGAGTAGGGCATGCAAGGGTTATCTGCCTAAAGGAAGAGATGCCATCATGGAAGAATTTCGAAGAAAAACTAACCTTTGAGTGGGTATTAAAAATAAAGCATGTAATTTTCATTGAAATTATATTTATACATATTTCTTATGTAAAAATTTCATGTATATGCTAAATTATTGATAATTACTTTACCGAAAAATATAGTGAATGCACAGAAATTAAAGATTTGCATATGCCGGAAATGAAAAATATGAAATATGTATGGGCATTTATGCATATGCTTACAAAAAGCATGTATCTGCCTTTAACAAAATATGTAAATATTTATTAAATTATTTATAAATGTATTTGAAATGAAGGATTTATTCATTCATAAACTCCTGTGCAAGTTACTGTGAAGTACTCTAATTATTAAATGTATCTAAATTTATAACAATTATAAATATTATCTAAATATATAATAACATTAATATTAAATTGTAAACATAAACTGAAATCTTGTTGACAGATACGCTATAAAACTATTTAAGTACGACTTGTTTATACTGGACAGCAATCTGTTAAAAGTTATTGTAAAGCAAATTCTATGAGATGCATAGTTAAGAAAGTAATAAAGAAGAGTTTTAGAATATGTATTGTTGAAATAAAAGGTAAAAAAAAATCTGATAAGTATAATTAAAAGAATTATTCCCCTTACATTTTATAATAACTCAATTACAAGTTTTAAATAATATTTAAAAAAATCTTTTATTCCCTTTTAATATAGTGAATGCACAGAAATTAAAGATTTGCATATGCCGGAAATGAAAAATATGAAATATGCATGGGCATTTATGCATATGCTTACAAAAAGCATGTATCTGCCTTTAACAAAATACGTAAATATTTATTAAATTATTTATAAATGTATTTGAAATGAAGGATTTATTCATTCATAAACATATTCAGAGAAAGTTAAGTATTATTTAACGTATTTCACGATTAAAATAAAAGGTGCTCTAATTTAATGGACCAAATAGAGCATTAATTATAAATTGACTTCGATTTTTCGATTCAAGAAGATAAAAAATCATGTCATATTTGAGAAAGTATTTTAGGAAGAAGCTCTATAAATAGAAAAGAAATAATGCATATTTTAATATTAATAATACAATAAACTTTGATCTTAATTTTTGTAATCCTTAACTGAATAAAATCGAATTATCTTAAAATTTTTTTCTAATGTAATTAACGAAAATATTTCATTCAAATTAAACCGTTGTGAGCAAACTGTTCTGTGAAAAGTATAGTATTTAATTCCTTTATTAAAGAATTAACTGTTGTTTTAAATATATTCTTGTCATATACGAGGGTAAGTTGAAAAACAAGTTTCCCCTGTCGACTGTGGTCAGAGTTGTGTATGAAAGTCAAAAAATAGAATGAGATATTAAAGATATGACATACCTTTATTTTTCCACATAGGTACCAAGTACACTGAGACATTTGTCATATCGCTTGATAAGCTTCAAAAAGCCCTCCAGGAAAAAAATCAGGGCTTTGCATATGGAAGAAGCGTTGAACGGCTCGTTTCACTTCAGTATTGCTTTCAAAGCACCTTCCCCCGAGATTTTTCTCTTCAAAGCCGGAAACAGATGGAAGTCGCTTGGTGCGAGATCAGGACTGTATGGCGGATGGTGTAGGCGCTCCCAACCCAGAGTTGCAATATGGTTTTGCATTGCCGTCGCCGAATGTGGTCTCGCATTGTCATCCAATAGCAGAACGCCAGACGTGAGAAGGCCAGGCCGCTTTTTCCGAATCACCTATTTCAATTTTGACAAGGTGTCACAGTAGCACGTAGCATTGATGGTTCCAACCTCCAAAAAGTCCAGCAACAAAACTCCTTGGGCATCCCAGAAAACGGTGAGGAGCACTTTACCTGCAGAGGGAGTTGTCTTGAACTTCTTTCGGACAGGTGATGATGGATGTTTCCACTCCATAGATGCGGCCTTCGATTTTGGCGTGAAATGGTGGACCCACGTTTCATCCCCCGTCACAATCCGAAACAGAAAGTCATTGCCATCTTCATCATCATTGCGTGGTAACGCACGAGATGTTCCAGGCTGACCCCCATGCGTTGTTCCTTGTGCGTCGAGGTCAATTGTCAGGGCACCCATCGTGCTGGCACTTTTCTGTATCGAAGAATGTTGTGGACGATGTTTCGAGCTCGCTCATGTGAGATTCCAAGTTCTTCCGCTACTTCATCAATGGTGATACGCTGGTTCGCTCTAATCATGTCATCCGCCTTCCTGACATTTGCATCTGTAGTGGCTGTGCGCGTCCGTCCAGCTCTCGGTATGTCCTCCACTTGCTGACGTCCATCACTGAATGTGCGACACCATCTCCGCACCATTTGCTTCAACATCACACCTGGCCCATAGACTTCCACAAGGCAGTTATGAATTTCTGTTCCTGATACTCCACGTGCCCATTCATAGCGGATAACCGCTCTCACTTCCTCCTTTGACCACGAATTCAAAACGCACCTTCTCTCCATACCTACCGGGGCTCAAATGAGAGGCTGGTCTCTGCTTTGCGCAGGCACTGCAACAGCGCCATCTGCTTGATTTGCAGCGACCTCTACCCAATGGTGTATCGGTGACTTGCGCGTTTTCCTGCTGTGTTGCCTTTCGCCTATAGCCGTTCAACGTTTCTTCCATATGCAAAACGTGAATTTTTCTTGGAGGACGTTTTGAAGCTTATCAAGCGATATGACCAATGTCTCAACGTACTCGTACGAGAATAATAAAATAAAGGTATGTCATATCTTTAATGTCTCATTCTATTTTTTGACTTTCATACACAACTCTGACCACAGTCGACAGGGGAAACTTTCAACTTACCCTCGTACTTAAGACTCTGAAATACTGTAGAAAAAGAAAATATATGCATTTATATGTATATTTACAACACAATTACAAAATATTTACGTCCGATCGTGTCAAAACCCATTGAACTTAATGGTAAATGGCGCAATGTTTTGATCACCACAAAGGGATCGCCAGTGCTTCAAAGCAGTGTATGGGGGAAACCAGTTAGGGCCACTCCATTTTACTTCCTACCTCCATGATATACATATATATATATATGAATGAAAGCAGTACTCAGATATACAAATGAATGTTAATTCTATCATCTCCAGCAGCCAAAACAAATTATATATAATTAGATCATGGAACTGCATTTTTCTTTCTGGAGTCACTGTCTCTAGATGTCTTAAAGAATATGATCTAAGAAAATACTGGATAACCCGAAAAATTCTGTGGTTTCTCAGCTCATAGCAAGTTTTCTTCTAATTATTGTTACTGCTGATAAGGAGTGACCTTGATCACAGCAGATGCTTAAATACAGTCTTTTCTGCTTGCATTGTATAATTCTAGCACATATTGTGACAATTTTTTTTCAGTGAAGTGTTAAGAATATAGATGCCAAAAGTTCATTTTCGTCATATTATGGTCTTTTATTTCAAAAAGGAAAATATGCTATCAGACTACTTAGTAAAATGTCTGATGTATGTAGGCAATGTATTGCTTTTAATGACACAGTTTGCAGGTGGTTTGAGAAGCATGCAAATTTCAGCCTCAAAGGTGTCTGCTATGGACCATTTTCTGTAAACAAAAATCTATTAAAAGAAGCTCATGCAGAAAATATACATTACAAAGTTCAAAAACTGTCAGAGACTAAATATTCCAAATATACAGTATCTGATAATTTGAAGAAGCCTGGATATTTTTTTAATGTCTTATTATTGGAGATCAGAAGTGGATGCCATACAATAATATTATAAGAAAAAGATCATAGGGTAAGCTCAAAGAACCTTTTTTAGTAACATCAAGAGGAAGGGACTGCATCCTAAAAAAGTAATGTTTTGCGTATGGTGCGACTACAAAGGAATTGTATACTGATAAGTCGTGCAAAAAATTTGGAAAAATACTGTTCCCACAGTTATGGTCTGAAATTAATTTCTTTGGAGACTATCAAACAGCACCTTGATAACTTCTTTGGTAACAAATATATATGTACCTTTTATTAACAATGCTCCTTACCCAGTTCAACAATGTAGAATTCATTTTGGTATATGATAAAAAAAATATTTTAAGACTTACTCAAGAAATAAATTCAGCGTAGACATTTTCATTTTATAACATATAGTTTTAGTTAAATGTACAAAATGCTTACCATATGCTAATAAATTTTTATACAATTTTTCTTGAGCAGTCTCTTGTATTTCTTGAATAAATACACTCTCTAAAAAAGAGAATGAATAAATTGAAATGTAAATAGTAATTGCATTAATTTAATAAACGAATACAATTTTTTTTTAAGTTTCAAGCCATAAAATTATTAAAAAGGTTTTCTTACTTTAGTACATTAAATATTTTGAAAACTTATCCTAAAAAGATAAAATACATAAGTAAAATACAGGGTTAGCATAAGCGATTCATTCATTTTGAAAAAGCTATATTTTCAGAAGTATTAAGGGTACACACATGAAAAATACCAGGTGGCCATAATTAAACTGACAGTGCTCACAGTGTTCTGTAGCGCGATCTATTTACGAGAATGACGCCACATTTTGTAGGAAGATTAAACAAGACGGGGGAGAAAGGATTCCGCGAAAAAACAAATTAGTTCCGAAAGTCACCGCTAGGGGAATATTTGGCACTGTGTAATAGAAAATAGAGTGTTAACAAATGCAAATCAATACAGAAATTACCTTTTATTTTGCATTCAAATGAGGTTCAATGTGGCTGCTGTTGTTGTGGACCACATATTGCATTCTGTGCACAGTATGCACAACAGCAGAAAGTAACACGCAGGAATCTCCCGTACAGTCCGTCATATGTTATCCTTCAACATAGCCAGGTTCTGGACCACTCCTTGATAAACCTTGGACTTAAGGTAACCCTATAGCCAGAAGTGGAATGCGGTAAGATCAGGCAACCGAGGTGGCCATGCAGTTGGAAAGTAGCTGCTAATGACACTTTCTGTTGTAGCATCTGTTGCACCCGTACAGCAACGTGTGGAGGGGCTCAGTCTTGCATGAAAATGATTTCCCCCAGGTATTGTCTTTGTTGAAGTGCCGGAATGACAAAGCTGTTCAACATGTGGCGATATTTCTCTCCGGTAACAGAACAGGTTTCCGGTCTTGTCGGGGTAATGTTCTCATAGAAGAATGGACCTACGATAAATTCCGCTGTGAACCCACACCAAACAGTTACCTTTGGTGAATGTAAGGGAATTGCTGTGACTGCATGTGGTGATTTGTCATCCCAAATTCGGCAGCTCTGGGTATTCACAGTTCCATTCAGGTAAAAGTGGGCCTCGTCTCCTCATAAGATTTTCCACGGTCAAACATCCTCCACCTCCATTTTGGCAAGAAAGTTGAGAGCAAAAGTCAATCGCTTATCATAGTCGGGGTACAGTAACTCCTGTACACGGCTGATCTTGTACGGATAGAAGTTGATAATCTTTCGTAAGAAATTTCCATACCATGCTGTAAGGCATATCCATATTCCGAGCTACTCTACGAGCGCTAGAAGTGGCAGCAATATTGTCTGGTCCTCTGTCGACAATCGCCGTGGCAACTGCTTCGATTGTATCCTGTGGTACAGGTTTTCGTCCTCTGCCTGACTGAACCTTCAGAGAACCTGTTTTCTCAAACATCGCAACCATTGCTTTTAGCCCATTAACTTTACGCATTTTTTTGTGTGTTATAAAAGCACGAAGGACGGCTGACGCGTTGCACTGGTTGAGGTAAAAGAATTTGACCAGTAATGAACACTTGACTAAAGAAGGAGACATTGCACATAAACTTTCAATCCAATTGATTCGAAACATAACACAATGCCTTTTAAAACCCAAGCAGCTGGCACTGTGCGAATGGATGTAACGTGAAATTTGAATAGAGAACTTCTTCTGCTCAGTGTACATGATATTGCAGATCACGAGAGTTTATCGGTGTTTATGTAGATTTTATGCTTTTTTAAAGTGTTGCCATATTGCACTTGAACTAAATCAGAAAATGTGCATAATAAAAGGTAATTTTATTCCGTATTAATTTGCATTTGTTAACACTCTTTTTTCGGTTACATAGCGCCAAATATTCCCCTAGCGGTGACTTTTGGAACTAATTTGTTTTCTCGCGGAATCCTTCGTCCCCCGTCTTGTTTAATCTTCTTACAAAATGTGGCGTCATTCTCGCAAATCGCGCTACAGAACACTGTGAGCACTGTCAGTTTAATTATGGCCACCTGGTATATGAAAAGAACCACAAACTGACCAAGTTTTTTTCAGTATTTGAGCAATTTTTCCAGATAAGTGGAATGTAGCTTCATCTCTGAATATCATCTTGATGGCAAAATCTTTACCCTTTAATGCTGATACAAATATCTAGTCGACAGGCATAATCCTCTGACTTTAATTGCTGCAGGAGCTACAAATCGTACGGTTTGAAATGCAACCGTTGATGCAAATTCTTCCACACAGTTTTCCAAGCATCTGGTCAATTTGACAGGTAAGACATCTGAACAACAATGCTACAAAATATATGGAATGAGCTTGATTATCATCTGGATGTGTGTTGTGTCACCAGATGGGCACATACTGAATATTTGTAGATGGTGTGTAAACTTAGTGAGTTTGTGGTTCTTTTCACATATCTTGTGTGTGTATGTCAAATACTTTTGAAAATATAGCCTTTTCAAAATGAATGAATCATTTATGGTAACCCTGTAAGTCTATTAAAAAGTATTAGATAAGAATTTATAGTTATTTTTTATGTCAACTTACAATATTGTTTTTCTAATAGATAGACAACACAAAACCTTAATTCATTTAATATTTTAAATAACTTCTTATTTTATCAAAAGACAAGTAGCACAAAGTGATTACTTCATTAGTAACACAAAAAAGAAGAACACATTACTTTCTTTCTTCAGAAGTAACAGAAAAAGAGATATTTTGGGCAGAATTAAAAAATAAAATTAAGCATTTAGTTTTTTAAATATTTTTTTAGATAAAATTTTGGTATTTAACTTTTATTCTATATAGAAAAGTAATTTTCAAATTATGTATGAAAACATTATTTTTGATTTGTTACCATTATGATTCCATCATATGCTTTGTATACATTTATTCAATAAATAATACATATGCAAGTTCAAAATTAACGAACTCACCCTCTTTCACCTCATTTATTAATTTCAACAAAGCACAAGCTGACAGCCAGTAGGATTCAATATATGGGCTCAAAATATTCCTAAGAAATTCTAAATGGCAGATACTCTCCTCTTTAAGGTCAATCTAAAAGAAAATAATGTTACATTTTAAAACAATAAACTGCTAGTAAAGAAAATTTTCCATATATACAGTGCTGACCATTAAAATTGCAACACCATGAAGGAAAGCAAATACAAAAAAGATATTTTATTGCACATAAACAGTATGGCATGAAGACAAAATGAATAAATTTGTAAGCATTTTGGAGGTTTACAGGGTTGCAAAATTAGTAGAAACAGCTGATACCCCTGGAAGCTAAAACAGCACTTAACCCATTAGGCATAGAGTCAAACTGGGCTTGAATGACATGACAATTAATTCCATGCTGCTTCAAGTATATGCCACACTTCATCATCTGTATTAGTTGGTGAGGGGTGGCGGGACCAGTCTCTCAGCAACCCATAACCAGATGTTTTCACTAGACACTGTAGGCCAAGCAGCAAACAAATACCCTGTGTATCGAGGAAGTTCAGAACATGACGTGCAACATGTGATCTTGCATTATCTTGTTGGAACATGGCATTTGGGGGCCTCGAAGATATGACACAACCACTGCATGTAAGATGCCAGAAATGTACTCATCTGTATTTAAATTACCGTGGTTCCGAACTGGAGATGTGTGTGTCGTGTACCCAATGGCTGCCCAAAACATCACACTAGGTGCAGGGCCCCTATGCCAATATCTAATGCAAGCAGGCAACGTGCGGTCTCCTCGGACACTCCAGACACATATACGATCATCAGAATAATAATGCACATAGAACCAGAACTCGTTTGAAAAGACGACATTGTGCCGCTCCTGTATTCAGCTTTGTCATTGTCATGGGAATTCAAAGTAACGATCACCATGCTGACAGTCCATGCTCCAGCAAATGTCACCGCACCTTACAAGCTCATACTGGACATGCTGCAAACATTCCCATTTCCTGACTAACAGTTTTGCAGAGCTGGCCTCATAAAATGTCTTACCTCTCTGGCATTAGTCATGGGAGGGCGTTGAGATCCTGCATGCAATTCACTATGACCCTCAGCAATCCTTTGATTTCATATTCGCCTAACCGTGGTTGGATGCCGACCAGTGCAGCGGGCGATATCATGGAATGATAATCTACACTCTCGATAGGCAACGATCCTGTCTCTGTTGAATTCCGAAACTTGCTTATAAGCATTTCCTCTTCTTATCTTCTTATTTGAGACACAACACGACATTCTGAGTGAACACCAATCTTACAAAGCACTTTCTGAATGAGAAATCCACTACGCAACTTTATGCAGTGCTTGAGATGTCATTTCTCCCTCCGTCATTTAAATGTGCTGAAATACTAATCATTTGCATACCCCACCTTCTTCATTTCATGAGATTTTGACATTCTTCAGATCATTCCTTCCTGGTGTTGCAATTTTAATGGCCAGAAAAAAGGTCTGTCCTGAAAGTAATGTCAGTAAGTCTATTAAAAATCATTTACTGAATTTATCGTTACAAGTGTTAAAAATCTTCAAAATATTCTCCTTTTGCATTGATACATTAGTTTTAGCAGGACTTCCAGCTCTCAAATGTGTTGCGGTAGTCCTCTTCTGGAAGGTGCTGAGGTGCAAGCTGCTTTGATCCCATCCACTGTCCAAAATACTTGCCTTTCAGGGGTGTTTTGAAGTACAATAGAAAAAAAGTCAAGAGGAGCCAAGTTCGGACTGTACGGAGGCGGGGGGATCGTTGGCACCCCTGCTTTGACGAGGTAGTCGGCGACAATGAAGACACTGTGGGCCGGTACATTATCGTGGTGCAACTTCCAGTTGTGTGTGAATGTCTGGACAAAGTTCACAGTGGTTCCAGGTTCTACAAACTCATGATGAATCAGTATGTGGATGTTAAAAAATACAACGAGCATGATCTTGATCTTTGATTTGCTCATCCTGGCCTTTTTCGGGTGAGGAGACAGAGCGTGTGCCACTCCGAAGACTGCCTTTTGGCCTGCAGGTCATTGAAATGCCCAAGTCTTGTCACCTGTAATGGCGTTGTTTAAACATTTTTGATCACATTTGCACATGTCAAGGTTTCTTGGCACGTTTCAATACGCCATGACTTTTGATTATCAGTAAGCACTTTCGGAACCATTTTTGCACACACCTTTCCGTGGTGTATAACGATTTAATGAACTTCAGATTTTGGAATTTTTAACATGTCGCCCATTAAATGAACACTTAATCATTGATCTGAGTTCAACAGTTACATCACTCGTGTCACATTGTCAGCCTTGGTGGTCATGGTTGGCCGTCTGGTGTGGTCCTCATCGTCGACCTTTTCCCGGCCTTTCAAAAAGGTCTTGTGCCACTAAAACACTTGCTGATCTGACAGGGCATGTTCTTTGTAAGCAGTCTTGATCATAGTAACAGTTTTCGTAGTGGTCTTGCCGAGTTTCACGCAAAACATGATCACAAATCTTTTCTAATGAGCACTGCATTTTCACTTGCACTTCAAAAAACAACTTTCAAAGGGAGGCCCATCCTCACTCTCCGGGTGCTCAATATATTATACGTAGCGTATTCGGAAACTAAGTACCGTTTCATTCTAGCGCCGTCACAGCGCTGCGGTAGATGTCCCGCGCATGCACACTAGTCTTTCTTGTTCACTGACTTTCAATTGTCGCCATTTTGGTTGCTCTATGTTGTGCTTTCAGTTTGCTGTGCACATTCAAAATGTTTAAGATAATTAGTTCTACCGCTGACTGTGAGATTCGTCCCGTGATTAGATTTTTGAACGCGAGGAATGTTAAACCGGCCGAAATTTATCATCAAGTAACAGAAGTTTACAGTGAATACGCGATAAGTGATGCAATGGTGAGAAAGTGGGTAAGAATGTTTAATGCAGGTCGAACAAATGTCCACGCCGAGGCTCAGAGTGGTTGGCCTTCTTTTGTCACTGATGATTTGGTAAGGAAAGTTGATGAAGTAATTCATGAGAACAGACGCTTCACAATGACAACTCTTTCAGAGGCATTTCCACAAATTTCACGTACTGTTTTGTTTGAAATGGTGTCTGACCGCTTGAATTATTGCAAACTGTGTTCCCTATGGGTTCCAAAAATGCTCACTGATGTTCACAAAACAAAGCGACTTGGTAGTGCCCTGACATTTCTCACGCGGTACAGTGATGAGGGAGAAAACTTTTTAAACCAAATTGTGAGAGGTGATGAAACTTGGGTGTGTCATTTCACACAATCGAAACAACAATCGATGGAGTGGAGACACACTCATTCTCCGAAAAAACAAAAGTTCAAAGTGACAATGTCATCACAAAAAATCATGTGCACTGTCATCTGGAATAGGAAAGGTGTTTTGCTTACTGAATTTCTTCCCAAAGGTGAAACCATTAATGCGACACGATATTGTGAGACTTTAACAAAACTAAGGTGTGCCATTCAAAACAAATGAAGAGGAATGCTCAGTAAAGGAATTGTGTTGCTCCATGACAATGCCCATACTGCTGGTGTCACTCAATCGTTAATTCGACAGTTTCATTGGGAGCAGTTCGATCACCTACCATACAGCCCGGACTTGGCGCTGTCCAACTATCACTTGTTCCTGCACATGAAGCGCGAGCTTGGTGGCAAGCACGCTGGATCTGACGATGACATGAAAAGTGCTGTGGAGTTGTGGTTATCGAAACTGGCAGGAAGTTTCTTTCACGATGGTATACAAAAACTGGTCACCCGCTATGACAAGTGTTTGATCATTGGCGGAAACTATGTTGAAAAATAGTTTAAGACATGCATTTTCATGTAAAAATAAAATTGGTTTCGAAAAAATTGTTTTACTTTTTTTCAAAACAGTACTTAGTTTTCGAATACGCCTCGTATGTATATATGTGTGTGTGTATGCAGTATATTAGTAATTTAACTAATTACTAATATTTTCAGTTGCATCAGTATCAATTACATGTGACATAAGTCTTAAAATTATCTTTGCTGGCTACACAAAATTAAGCTTTGGAAATTTAAATGATATTTAGAACAAATACTATATTTACTATATAATATTAACTGTGTAACACACAATTCTTAACATTCCATTTTAATGAAATCAGTATCACATTTTATTATTCTTTTCTAAATTAATTTATCTAGTAAGAGTAATAAGAAATTGTTTTGTTTATCAACTATATTTCAGTTGTATATTTTCCTTACTATATGCTGAAACTGAAGTTATGATGACAGATTATTGAGCCAATACAATGGTGCAATAAATAAATGCATGACAATATTATACCACAATGGTGCAGAATGAATTCATACTCATTTTTTTTTTTTTTTTTTTTTTTATTTCAGACCACACATTATGTTATCCACACCACAACATAAAAAATACCTTACAGTTTAATAACATAAAAATAAAAAAATACTTAATGTATCCAAATTTTTATCTAAAAATTAATGCGAGTTCTGATACCTGAGACTATTTCTGACAAATGAGGTTCATAATTGCCCCATGTTACCCTTATTATATCATTAAGATATACTATATCAATAAATGGATTTTCATGGCTTAATTTCTAAAATTAGAAGTGCTGGAAGCCTCTCTATCAGAAAGGTGTGGCAAAATAAATAAAATAACTAATAATTAAAATAATAAAATAAAATGTAAAAATATAAATTAATTAATTAATTATGACATAAAAGATAAATAGTTCAATAAAAAAATTTTGGACTTTGTCTTCTTTGGAGCTCTGGCTAGAATTAGTTTCATTCGAAAACTAAGAAATAGCTCAGAAAGTCTACAATTGAATTTAAATCTTGACCATATGGTTTTACATATTATATCAAGGAATGATAGAAATAAAAACCATTTTTTTTCCCTAGAATACCAATGAAAAAAGTAAAATGATAAAAGCTCCCACTCATGAGAATAGAGCGAATGTTAGAAACAATACAAGAGTATGGAAGGAAATTTTAATAGAGAAGCACAGCCTTTAAAACAAAGACAGAAGAATCTAAAACTTTCTGACTGTGATGCCCTGCCCATATAATTCTAGTGGTCAAGCAGAATGTGATAGAAGAAAAACTTTTCCCCGATTTGGATTCAATAACAACATGAGAGCAAACATAAAGCTCTGAACAAGTGACAATTTTCATCCCATGTATTTAGTTACATTGTTTAGAAAGATTGCAGGAGCTGTGCCACAGACGTGCACTACCAGAATGTTCACTCTTAATATTTTGGGGAAAGAAAAAAATTACTCGCTTATTGCATTCCCTGGATAATAAGCCTTTGGCATGCAGGTAAGAGTTTTTCTGTCCTTAAGTCTCGACCTTAGTCAGTTTCCCAAATGCATTCAGATGTTAGCATTGATTTAAGCATATTTAATATTAAATTAAAATTTGTTGAAACTGATTCACTTACATATGAAGTGCTGAAAGCCCTTGGTACACCTCAGCTGGAATTATGATGGAGAAGTACCAAAACCAGACTCTGGAGTAATTTAAGGTCTGTTGATTTCAATCTAAGTTCTTTATATATTTCAATTTAGATTTCACAAAGATAATGTTGATTTGAAAAACACATGCAACCTCTATGCACATTTATGCAATCTTGTATTTTTTAAGTATTAACATCCATTTAATTTCATCATTTCCCAAATTTTTTAAATTCTTTTTATTCTGGAGCTTAATTGTTATTTCTGAGTATAGAGGAGATTTTAGATAAACTCAAACATACAGTTAAAAGAAATGAGTTCAAGAAGTTAGCATTTGAGTGAGTCATTCTTCTAATTCCACTTCTCATTCAATTATTTTCGCTCTTTGTTCCATTCTTGCTAATAGCTCTTGAATCACTTCTGATTGCATTATTTTTAATTAATGTTATTGTTAGTGAGTGGTCGGTCATAAAAAGAAACCAATTCATTTCAGTGAGCAAACGGGGTTCTGATCGAATCCCATAAAACAGCAGCTTTGCCTATGTCTAATAAGGAGCAGTCCAACAGTCAATGAGAATATCAATTTAAATATCAGTTCTTAAGGATATTGGAGCTGTTAAATTTAGTGACAATTTGCTAAAATAGAGAAAAAATTTTAATATGCCTGTAATGGACAGGGCCTATAGTTGGTGCTAGAAATTTTACTGCTTGGTGCAATCTCTGCGGGTCCTAAATTCTGTTGCCAGGTGCCTGCTTAAATTCTAAAAATTTTATTCCTCAGTGTGGCCACACCAGTTGCACTAGCTCTGGTGCCAGGCCTGAATGTGCCTGCAGTTGGATGAATTATAATATTTTATAAATATTAATATATTTTATTTTAACTTGATGTTTCACATGGATCAATTAGCTGCATCAAGCAAGAGATCCCAGTAGTTTTCAAGTAGATGTTTCTATCACATATTACAGAATCAAATTCAAATAATCTTGACACTTGTTATAAAAAAACATTAGAAAATTTTTATCAAGTACTTGAAATGCAATGAAAAACATAATATATCAATATAAATTTTTGGTATACTTTTAATTGCTGGTCTCTTGCACACTGCAGTTCTTCTTCTTCATCACTTTCTTCAAAAGCCATAGTTGATTTTCTGGAATGCTTCAAATTCCTATTCGGATGTACAACTGTTGCCTGAATAATGCAAATATTACTATACTATGAGCATAATATGAAAACATGAACAGGAATGAATTAATTTTTTTTTTAAAATTATTTAACCGAATATCCAAAATCTCAGTTATTCCAGTTACAAATATCAACTGCATAATTTGAAAAAAAAATTACAATGATCATGCTCTATTTTATGAATAAATTAATTATAAAATTAATAATAACTGATAAAAATTGAAAAATGCATAATTTTACCTTTTATTAAAGCCATCAGGTCACATTGAATCTATGAAAATTATCTAAACTTTTTCAATATTTGTAAATTAAATACTGTTGGAAAAAAAAACAAAAACACATGAGTTACACAGCAGATGAATGGTATGTGTTATCTTGATTTTTGACCAACTATGATGTAGTTTTTTCACCTCTTAAGTGCCATTCATTTGATTGAGTAGTTTCTGCATCAGAAGCATGTATCTGCATTTAATCCCCAGAAATAATGTGTTTAAAAAATTCATCTTGATTAAGCAATTCCTAGACACCTGGTTTTGGAAACAGTTCAATGTTTTTGGAAAAACTCAAAAAATGTGCCATAAGCCTAAACTATCAAAGTTACAAAAGAACATGATAATTTTGTAGTGATAAATGTGGATGTCTTGAACATATGAAATGTTAAACATTGCTCTTACTCCAATAAGATTAATATTTATTTACATTTTTTAGATACAGAATCACACAGACAAAAAATCAGTCATCGTTCTTTGTCTTCTCTCTTGCTTCATGTTGCCATTCTGGTGAAAAGAAAAGTGCATGCGAGAAGTTTCACAGATGGCGCTTCATTAACGCGAATGATGTCGCCACACACCCCCTTCCCAGTGATAGCGTTATACCTCGTAATCTTTCAGGTATGCAGGAAATCTCGCCCTTCGTCCAGCTTTGTGTTTCTAGGATGAATATCTTGGGAAGAATCATTGTCTCCAGGAAGTGGAGGTGAGATTTTGGAGTTATCAACTTCATGTGTCGGGAGATTTGTTGTTGTTTCATTCTTGAGGCTGAAACATGGTTTCAGTCCAAGAATTTGACTTTTGCAGGTGGGACTTTAGGCTGTTTTTCAAGGTTCGATGTTGCCATTCTATTAAACCATTAGATTGTGGATGATAAGCCATGGTGCTGTTAGCCTTGAAGCCTAAGTATTTGCTCAAGGATCTGAAGAGTTGGCTGTCAAATTGTCGACCTTGGTCAGATGTTATCTTCTCTGGAATTCCAAATTTTGAAATACAAGTCGCGAGGAGCGCATTTGCGATGGACTCTGCAGTTTGGTCTTCCAAAGGTATAGCTTTGGTCCACCGAGTGAATCTATCGATGATGGTAAGCAGGTACCTAAAATGTTTGCAAGATGGTAAAGGGCCAACGATATCGATATTAAGGTGCTTGAAACGTTGATTGGGAACTTTGAATTCAGCAGCTGGAGCATGGGTATGTTTGTGAATTTTGGCTCATTGGCATTGCAAACATGCTCTAGACCACTGCTGACAGTCTTTGTTTATGCCAGGCCAAATGAATCTTTTTGTCACCAGCTTGGTTGTTGCACGAATCCCAAGATGGGATAAGTTATGTATAGAAAGAAATACTTGTTCACAAAATTCTTTAAGAATGTATGGCCTGTTAAAATTAGTGGAGGTATCACAGTAAATCTTCTTATTGCTATCCGGAATAGGAATTAGTAATATTTTGAAACTGGAATTTGATTTGAGAATCCTGAGGTCTTCATCCTCCTGGCAATCTGCTATAATTGTATAATTAATTGGAGCTGGGATAGCGATGGTGTCGATTCTCGATAGCATGTCAGCTACAATGTTTTCTTCTCCAGAAATGTAGCGTATGTCTGTAGTGAATTCAGCAATGTAGTTCAATTGCCGTACTTGTCTTGGAGAGGCTTTATCTAAATTCTGGTGGAAGGCGTAAGTGATAGGTTTATGATCAGTGAAGATAGTAAATGATCATCCTTCCAGAATGTGTTTAAAATGCTTCACCACTAGGTAGATTGCAAGTAGTTCTTGATCATATGCGCTGTAATTTCTCTGTGTTGGTGATAGGGATCGGGAGAAAAAACTTAGTGGTTGTTGTTCATTATTAGATAGTTGATGAATTACAGCACCCACAGCAGAATCAGATGCATCCGTAGTTAGGGTGATCTGCGCTGTTTGATTGGGGTGAACTAACATTACAGAGTTGCACAGTGCGTTTTTGATATCAGTGAAAGCGTTCTGCGCATCTTCGGTCCAAATTAGAGGTTTTTTGCTGTTTTTCTTTACTCCTTTAAGCAAGATTGTCAGAGGTTGTTGTAGTTTGGCGCAGTTTGGAATGAAGCGATGGTAAAAGTTCACCATGGCCAAAAATCTGCACAAGCTTGTGAAGGATTCTGGTTTAGGATATTCTTTAATTTTATCGACTTTGGATGGAAGTGGCTTGATTCCTTCCGTTGATATTTCATATCCTAAAAATTCAACTTTACTCAAGCCAAATTTGCATTTTACAATGTTTATGCACAGTCCATAGTTATTAAGTCTTTGGAAGATTAATTCAAGATGTTTTTTAGTGTGTTTCAGCATCTGGAGAGGCGATGAGAATGTCGTCAAGATAGCAAAATACAAAGTCTAGACCACTAAGCACTGAGTTCATAAACCTTTGGAATGTTTGTGCAGCATTTCGTAAGCCAAATATCATGTAAAGAAATTCAAAAAGTCCGAAAGGTGTTATGATTGCTGTCTTCGGAATATCAGCTTCATGAACAGGAATCTGTTGGTATGCTCTTATTAAATCTATGGTTGAAAAAATCGTTTTTCCGTGCAGAATGTGAGTACAGTCAGTTAGAAATGGTAGTGGGTAACGGTCTGGTACAGTATTTGCATTAAGGCCACGGTAATCGCCACATGGTTTCCAGTCACCGGATTTTTTTAAAGTGAGGTGTAATGGACTTAACCAGCTGCTTTTTGATGGTCTGCAGAGACCTTTTTGCAACATATAATCAAATTCCTTTTTCGCGGCAATCAACTTTTCTTGTGAAAGTCTTCTGACTTTAAAGAAAACAGGGTTACCTTTGGTTTCGATGTTGCACACCATGTTCTTTAATTTTACTATTTTTTATGTTGGGTTTAAGTAAGTCAGGAAATTTGTTTAGGATGGCTTTATATGGGTTTTGAAAAGTATTAGCAATGAATTTAGGAGTGACGCTATTGTTACACAAAGTACCTTTAGCCATTAATGAGGTGGTGCCATCGATTAACTATTGACTAACAAATTAAAATGTGAAAGAAAGTCTATTCCCATGATAGGTTTATTAACGTTCGCAATGATAAAAGGCCATTTGAAAGATCTGCGTAGCCCTAAATCGAGCTCCAATAATTTTTGACCATATGTTTTGATTGTTGTACCGTTAGCTGCGAATAACTCAAGCTTAGCCACAGTTCTTTTTTCCGATGGTGATGGTGGGATAACCGATATTTCTGCTCCAGTATCAATTAAAAAATGGGTTGCTGATGCGTTGTCACGAATATATAGACGACTCAGCTGTACCCCTTGACTTTCTATCGTCATCGAAGGCCGCGGAATCAGTTTTCCTGTTTCGAGACCTGGTATTTACATGGTGGGGTGCACTTGTACGCTCTCTCACCAAAGTGTTGATGAAAATAACAATTATTTGGGTCATTGTTATTTTTGAAACAATTTCTAGAATTTGACCTGTATCATTGTCTTTGTGGACTGGAATTTCTACGCGTATTCATTTCTGCTATCTGCGGTGTCAAGTTTGATATCTGCTTCTGTAAATCTTCGGGGTAATGTTATCAGATGGGAAAGAAACAATGCAAGCTACCTGGGATGGATTGGGATTTAATTCCCATATTTTGTCAGCCATTGTAGACAATTTGGACAAATCATCACTGCTTACAGATAAAATGCTCTGCATATCAAGTGGTAGTTGTTGCATCCACAAAGTTTTTAAAATTCATCTGGCACTTTCTCGGCCGCCAAGTTACGCATTTCACAGAGAAGTTGGGGTGGTTTCTTATCACCCAGTTCCAATTCGGTCAGAAGTTTTCGGGTTTTCTGTGTTTCAGAGTTGGCGAAAATTTCAATCAGCCTTTTTTTAATGGCCGGATATTTCCCGTTGTCTGGTGGTTTGGTGAGAATATCAGAGATATGTGATAATGTCCCTGTTTCAATAGAACTGACTACATAATCATATTTTGTTTGATCAGCCATAATTCCAGCATTTCGGAATTGGGCTTCAATGTGAAGAAACCATATTTTGGGGTCAGGTTTCCAAAAAGGAGGAATTTTGATGCTGACCTTGGCGACAGTCGCAGATGTTGCATTAGTTTCGGCTTGTTTACTTTCATCTCCTTCAGCCATAGCAGAATTAGGCTTAACGGAAATACAGCTACCTTTATTTAATTTTATACTTTTATAGCTTTTCCAGCTTAAGTTTGTTTAGTAAAAACTAGTTCATTTATTCTTAACACATTTGATGCATTCTGAAAATTTTAACTGCATTCATTACCGCTGAAGTTATGTTGCAATATAGAACAAAATTTAAATTTTAAAGTTGACTTACCATTTAGAAGTATTTTGGTCCCACGTACGCTCAGAATTTACATTTCACAGACGCACTAAAACAATTGATTCATCATTTCTTGATATAATCCATGCGCACCAGAAGCACTTTGAAATGGAAACTATCACTCAATCCACTGTCAAACTCAGGAAAAAATTGCGGAACTTTAAAAATGGGTAAGTAGCTTCTTACGACGCTGTCCGTAACATTTATTCAGTAACAGGTGACTATTTATAAAGTGCTTATAATGTCAGTGACATATCATAAAATTACAGAAACATCGTACGTTCTTTTTTTCATCAGACACTTCATAAAATGAATTCAATCGCATCCGGGTAAACCAGTGTGGATGTCTTGAACATATGAAATGTTAAACATTACTCTTACTCCAATAAGATTAATATTT